ACCGGCTATTGTTGCTGGTAGAGACAGCGATGCAAGAGCACTGACACGTGAGGGGTCACGGCGAATACCAGCGTCAGAAATAATACGACAGCGTCACAATATCGCCAACACGTATAATGAGCTCTTGTCCATGTTCAGCTTGAAGTTTACCCTGGTTACGATCTTGAAGAAGTGCCTTGGTGTCTTTAAAAATTCCGCCAACGTTGGCGTGAACAGGATTACGACGTCGACCCATTGTGTTGAATATGGAATCAACGGTGCAAGTGTTGTCTGAACTTGGCTTTGGAAGTGTAGTGCAGAGTCCGTAGCGCCCTGCGGGGACATGAGTTGGCATAAATACGCTATCAGATGTCACGAGTGAGAACCTTTCTCAGTTATATCTTGATGCAACGGCGGCTGGCAGAAACCTTGAGTAAAATCAGATTGCCCGAATACCTCCTTGCCAGTTAAAGCATCCACCGTCGTATCGACGGTAGGCATAGTACCTGCAATCAGGATTGTCAGCCTGAACTGTTCTTGTGTTCCGGGCTTGCGTACGGGGACAACGACACTTGCCCATCGCAACGAGTTGTTCTGCTCTACCAAGCCACTTTCAACAAGCGACTGTACCTATTTTCGGATAAATTCGGCTTGTTGAAGTGCGCATTTCCGCGGTGGACTACGGTATGGCATAGCGTCAGGCCGTAGCGTGACTCTGAGAGGCTCCGCGTTTCAGGTATGTCCTCTCCAATCGTTACCCGCCAAACATCAGGGTAGGAACAACACTTTTAGCAGAACTAATGTCAGGGCAGTATGCCATTTTGACCAGACCATTGATTCTATCAGATGCAGCAGACGCTGCATATCTGGCGGACTTTAACCGCACCGCATTTGTGCGTTGCTCCTTGGCTTCGCGACAGCTATTGCGTGCTTCCTCACGCCGAAAATCTGTAGCAACCGGACAGCCAGTGCGGACACTTGCAGACTAGCCTTTCGAAGGTGGCGCACGGGGCGGCCGAGCAGAACGACGGCTACTCGAGGAGTGAGAGGGCGATATCGCAGCTGCAGACCCACTAGTCGAAGCGGTCGATGGTGGCTCCGGTGCCGGGGCTTTGTGCTCTCACTCCCACGTCCTTTTGAACTCTGCGATCCAGACACTTCTCCAGCATGATCATCGGATAATCGATGAAAGAACTGCTGTACTTTCGCGTGCTCTGATATCAAATCAAATAGCGTAACGTAATCAGTCTTGCTGTACCGCCTCTCTAGGTCGATTAATCGGGTAATAAGGGCTTCAAAAGGTGGAGGTTGTAGGTTTTTGACCAATAGCCGACAGGGGACTTTCATTCGACTCTTATGTCCTACGTCCAACACATTTTCGGTCCCAATAAGCCCTTGCAGGATGTCATTGCAGTCCTCGTAATAGTGGAACACCCTCGCATCACAATCATCAATTCATCGGTTCATCTTTACCTTCTGACGGAGCAAATACTTGTTTTCGTCAGTGAGCTTGCGGCACCGAGCTTCAACTGTACTTTAGATTTCCGGGCCCGTCACAGAAGCCACAGGCTTCTTTAACACATACCAGGTTTTTCAGTGTCTTTCGCCTGACAGAATCCTTTACAAAGGCTACGATGTTCTTAACGTGTCACCTGTCGTGGTACAGCGACGTCAATCTTATCGACATAACACTCCCATTCGCGGCGCCACTCGACCAGGGCGAACTCGGGCGGCTGAATGACTTCGAAGCAGGCTGGGGACGTTATTTTCGAAGCGACGTTACCTGTTAGCGCAGCGCTAACATACTGTTGTTAGGTTTCGTCAGCGCTGCAATACCTACTTCCGGTAAAACCACATTTTTCTTGAAACAAATCAAATGTGACCGGCAAAAAATAATGTATGTGAGATTTTGGGCTCTGGCAAAGCAGTTTGCAAATGGTGCGGCTGCGAATCAGGCGTATGAGACGCTTCGCTTTCAAAGCAATGCTTTGAAAGCATACATCACGGATATCCAGAACAAGAAATGACTTGATTAGATCGTAATATGAAAAAGATCGGTTTCTCAATGCCAGAGAAATTCCGGCTTTAAAAGACCTAGATCCATTAAACCAAAATATGGACGATGGCAAATATGGTTCCTGAACGAAGCACAAGCTTCGGTCATTCAGACTATACGTAAGTTAAGCATGGTCAGAGGGCACAACATTACATCTATCCGTCGTGACGACAATCACTCTTTAAACCATTTTGTCATGTAGAACTCAGAGCTGTTCCGTGCGAATCGCGGCTTTATGACGAGAGAGATTAAAAGGAGTTACCACCCGGTCTTGTCACGGTCTACAGCTAGATGGAGG